TTAGCCATCATTTAAAGGCTCTGCATTGTTAGAATTTGAAGATTTCAGGTGTAAAAACCTCTAAATGACCTCTAAATTACTTCTAATATGAACTTTTTTTTCAGCCTCTTGTGTTTATGTAGGCTACATTAAAACATTAAATTCACTTAAAGGGCAATGAAATGAACGTATTTGGTAACATTAAAGAAAACTTACTGAGCCTACACACTGAGTATGAGAAAATGTTCATTTTAGAAGAAAATACCAAATCGCATTTAGAGGTTTTTGCATCTAAACTCTTCATTTTCTTATTAAATAGTAAGATAAAAACTAACTAAATTGAAATAAATATAATCTGAATGGTTATAATTAAGAAAACAAAAATGAATACAATGAAAATATAAAAGTAAGGCTAATTCAAAATAGAAGAATATGAATAATACCAAATTAACAATGCTAAAATACCACTGGAGTGAAAGAATGATTGATCGCATCCTATCAAGGGATTTGCTAAGAGGGACAGTCAGTCAAGAGTAAAGGACAAATCGCAAGCATAAATAACTTATAGGTCCTCTCCGGGAGAACTCTAGTTTACATGAATTACTACATAGCCTCTGGCAATCTGCATATCAAGCAGGACTTAACAAACAAACAACTGGCATATCTACTTACCATCAACGTAGCAAGGCGGGGTTGTTGCGGAAAGATTTAGTGATAGGCTCTTTGGCCAAGACACAGCGTAGATCAGTAAAATAACATCTTGTTCCCAAACAATATATTTGCAAAATTAAATCGTTGTGGAGTGGCTAATTGGTCTTAAAGGAATAGTTTACCCCAAAAGGTAAATTCAGCTGTTAGATAGGAACAAAATAAATGGACATTGATTAACATTTGTATTAGAGAAATAAAAAAAACATCATACAGATTTGGAACAACACAAGAGCGAATATACTGTGATCATTATATTTTTTGGACGAACTGTGCCTTTAAGAAAGAGGCCTGAATAATTAGACTGGTTTCAGGTTCAACTGACCCAGATTGGACACATTTCTTAGGGCGCATTTGAGACACGTTCTTGTGTTCAAAAACATCTAGAGCGCAACCGAACAAGAGATTTTGTGCAGCCTTTTTTTTCTCCCAAAAATTGACTATTTCTAAAACTCCACTCTTATGTTGTGCCACCCAAAAAAAAAACAAAAAAAAAACAATGCAAGACATGATGCAACAGCCAAAGAGACATCTCTTTTAAATGTGTATAGCTGTAGACGCAGTGTTTTAAATGTAATAAATTTAGAAAACGCACCTTTTCCTAAGAGGATTTTACAGCGCAATCTGTAAAAGCTAACACACATAGCCCGCTGTCAGCATGCTAATTAAAGCGCCACCGCAGAAAAAAAAACGAAAAAAAAGTTCAAAATTGAGTGAAACTACTCAACCATCATATCCTGTTCCTAGCAGGCATACACATGCACATAAAAAAACATGCCTCTAGTTCTCAGACTCTTCAACAAACACCTACTACCTTATTCGCAGTTGTCTCGAGGGATGACAACACTGGTAAGTGAAGCTGATGCAATGATGTCACACATGCAGCAAGTCTGTGTGCATGTGAACACGTATTTCTCTCACCCTACATCGAGATGGGGAAGTTGTGATGTATTCTCAACAGGCTCAGATGACATGTGTCACATTCTGAGTGTCCCCCTCCTTCATCTTTTTTTTTCTGCTTTAGGGCTCAAATGTTCTCTTGGGGGTAAAAGTGTGTGTGGGTGTGTATCTGACATGGTTGCCCTATATCCATGAAATCGAACGTCATATAACGCTAGTCATTGGCTTCTCGTAAAACTTGTGACTTTGAGGTTCTTACGTGAATGTTTCATTGGTCAGAAAGCTGAGGCATCTCTGAACATACATATTACATTGGTAAATCCGTAGAAGCATTAATACCAGTGGATAAGTAACATGGATTATTAAGACCATGTCAACTCGAGCACAAGAAGAAGCATATGGAGAATGAAATTCATATCAATTATCCAACATTTTACTCAAATTAGAGATGATGGTCATGACAAATAGCATTAAAAAAGGAATACAGAGGCAACTTCACGAGCAGATTCAGACTTTTAAATACAACTTAAGGGATTAGTATAGGCATACTACACTCAATAAAATGACTACTGCTGCTTGTTTAAAGTCCCTCTTAAAAATGAGCTGAAACATTTCTTGTCATTTCTTTGGCTAATATATTTGCTTTATGTTCAGTCCACTTAAATTTGTAAACAATTAGGTTAACTAAAGTGTTTTGTGTTGGAACAACATGAAGGAATTGTGTTGGTCCAACTACCTGGTTAGAGGATTTGTAGTTTCCAGCATGTTTTGAGCAAGATTGAATTAAGAGAGGGAAATGTTGACAATAAAAGTAATCTTAGGTGTTTAAAGTTAATAGAAAGATTTGTTAAAATTTAATTTTCACTTTAGTTTGAATATTTAGAAGATTTTCATGTAATGCTTTAAGTTTTGACATTACCATCTTGCAAAAGAACCCATGCTTTAGGTGTTGCAGCAAAAATGCACTAACTGTCCTAAAAATAGTTCTGAGATCAGTCTCAATCAACTGTATACGTAACACATGAATTATGCTTAAAACAGCTCTTTTAGTTAATTTAGGATAGCTTAAAATAAAACTAAGAGACTTTGAGATGTACATTACATAACATACATGATATTATCAGACACCTGCATTTATGTTAAATAAAAATACAAATGTATTTAAACTTTTATTTGATAAAACCATGTTGGAAAAACTCAATTGCATTTAATTATGTAAATAGTTTTTTTTTTTTAATTAGTATTAAAAACTATTCATTGGATGAAAATCCAGCCCTCAATTGAATTGAGTTCATCTAATAAATGATTTTTGAGTGTAATCAAATAAAATGTAAATAAATCTAATACTCATATACATAATAAAATATAATACAAATTATACTAATAATATAACATTGTCAAAATAAACAAGAGAACAAAACAGATCTCGGCAAGAACAAAAAGAGCAAATCAAAACAAGTAACAAAATAGAAATAAATTTGCAAGATCAAAAACAAAAAAGAAGAAAACATTAAAGCAAATGAAAAGCAAAACACAACGCAAAAACAAAATTAAAGCAAACAACAGAACAAAACAGAAAAGCCTCAAGCAAAAACAATACTAAAGCACAAAAGAGACCAAATCAAAGAAGAAAAATAATAAAACAAACAAAAAGGCGATGAACAAAATAAAGAACAAAAGAGACCAAAATAAAAAAATATTAGATAATAAAAAATAAAAAAAGGTAATCAAATGAAAGTTAAAAACAAAACAAGCAAGCAACATAACAGTACAAATAATATATATATAATTTACAAGGTAAAATATACATTAGTTTGATGAAGAGATGGTGCGATCCAAACACTCTGTGAAAGCCTTTCAAGGTAATAAATTTGTATTTTTGGAGCTTTTGTGTTGCCATTTTTTTGTATAATTTTGTGCTTCTTGTTGTTTGGCTGAGCACTCATTTTAGACTGCTGAGTATGTTATTGTGCATTATGTCGAGCTCAAGAAAGTAAAATACATAATAAAAAACTAACATTACTAATAGCAATTGTAAAAATCATAAACAGTGTTGTTAGTGCCATAATAGCATCTATGACACCAGATGTGATGCTTTCGGTGCATCCGGGTTTCCTGCAGGTTACTTCAGGATATGTCTGTCTGCCTGGTAGCATGGCAACAATGTGCCATTAGCCCCTTTCACACATACAGACCTTTCCGGAAAATTACCGGCAATTTTCCGGAAAGGTTGTATGTGTGAACAGGTCCTTTTTGAAAATACCGGTAAATTCGTTCTGGCTATTTTCCGGAAAGAGAAGTTGTAACATTACCGGCAATTTGCCGGAATGCTGCGCTGTGTGAACGCAGAAGGAAGATTTCCGGAATAAGCGTGTGCACGTCTAGAACGTGCTGACGTAAGACGTCTGCTTTAGCCAATCAGAACAGTCAGACGCATTTACGTCCGCGCGGTTTATGAGAATAAAAGCCTTTGAATATTTTCCCAGACACATTTAGCTGCTAGAAGTTAGTCAAATCACGTTTATATGTTCTTCTTAATGCCAACTGTGTAAATGATCATCGATGAGATGCTTATGATAAGCCGTTGTTTGTTTACCTTCAAGCTTTGCGTGTGCCTGTGAAACAGCCTGTGAGCGCCTGAACACGCACATATTATGAACATCTCGAAATGCGAAAGGGATCCTGCGAAAGTTGTTTACAATATTGATCATCCACAGAGTTTGTAATTTAGTCAAATGTTTACAAATACAAGCGCAGCCGTTTAAAGCTCATTTGTGGTGAATGATGTCAGAATTTACCGGTATTTTGGAATGGATGTGTGAATGCTCTTTTCCGGAAAAATTCCGTAACGTCCTCGCCTGTGTGAACAGCGCTTTTTTAAATATACCGGTAAAGTCGTTCCGTAAATTTTCCGGATATTTACCGGTATCACTGTGTGAAAGGGGCTATTGTCATACCATACACTCTGGCTGTGTAAGGCCTTGCAGACTGCTGCTGGACCTCCTCGTGCGTTTACTGCTTTATATGTTGTCGCATTTGCCACAATCCTCAATAGGAAACGCTCTCATGTTTATTTTTGTGCGTCCAGAATACTTTTTGTGCAACTAGGCAACAATGACTCACTGGCTTTTTGCGTAAATGGAGCAGTTTGGAAAAATTGAGAGAACAAATGAATTGACATTTGCTATCACTGCATCCCTGAGCCCTGCGCTGAAAGCATTGGATCAATGCTTGCAAATGTCCCTGGGGAGAAGTACCATGAAACGGCTCAAAGCCTGATCTTAAAAGGCTGGGTTATCGACTGATTTCTGCTCCAAAGGCTTTAGCTCTCTGTCTAAAACATACGGCTTTAGCTTTGACTGGCATGGTGGCCCTCTTAAAGAGGTGAGGCGAAAGGCTGGCAGCGGACTTACCCCCGGCAGTGTCTTCTGTTCGTGGAGGGCGTTCTGGGCTTTGATGGCCGACTCGCGGGCGCAGTAGGTGAGGAACGCGCAGCCTGTGTGACAAAAAAGAAAGGAGACTTTCAATGACTTGGATAGATAGTGGTCTTGAACTCAATACTGCCTGATATCGGCGGGTGGCCAAAGTCATTTGAAGTAAGCAAACAGCTTCCTATAGCAACTAACAGTGGCCCAACAATCAGGACAGAAACATCAGTAAGACATTTACATTTATTCATTTAGAGGAGGCACTTTCATCCAAAGTGACTTGTAAATTAGCATTCTGTATGAAGAAAAAGAAAGTAAGGAAGGACACAATGCAAATAATGATGTTTGCTTACGTTTCTTGGGAGGATTTGCTTAGTCTCCCAGTCTGACTTACTACATACAAAGTTCATACCATTCTATATGCAAGCAGGCTAAGGCCTTCACCTAATCCATAACTCTTATTGAGACACCATCATGTGAATGCACAAAACAGAGGAATAGGGGGTAGTGTTGTCACTGTGATTTCACTGAAACATGCAAAAGATGAAATATCTAAGTGTATTGCTAACAATATATCGCAGCCGGATTATCGACAGAAAATGCAGTCAAACGTACACAGAAGAAGTTGCACTGTGTGGGTTAATGCGAGCCTGTTCCATCACAGCAGACACAAAACGTCATAATGACATTAATATTAGGTTTGATTTAGGTCACCAGTGTCTTAGGACAATATTTTGACATCCAATAACAAGGTAAAATGATGTTGATATTTTGTAGATATTAGATTGTGTTGGAAAGTGACCAAAATCCAACGTCAAGCCAATATTTTAAACCAACATCATATTGACGTCAAATACTGACAATTTATTACAATTTATTCATCAGGTATGGCAACCAAAATCCAACGTCTGATAGACGTCATATTGGTCCACACAACTTCAAGCTGTAACATCATTAGACATTGATAGTGGGTTGTCTTTAAGTTGTGTTGGAAGTTGTGTTGGAAAGTAACCAAGTAACCAAACGTTGAACATTGACGTTGGCCTGACATTGGGTTCTGATTTCAACCCGATTTTTCTTTCCAAACAAAATACGTCCCACGACATTGGGTACAACATCCAACTGACGTCATTTTGAGATCCTGTGCCTTCTGGGATCGCTTTTTGGGAAATGTGTGCTATATATGAGATATGTACAGAAGCCCTTTACCGCATGGTAAAAAAAAAAAAAAAAAAAAAAAGCAATCTTGGAGGGCAGAAAAAATACGATTCTCATTATAATGACATATTAACATAATATTTAGTCATAATATCATAATATCTTATTATAAAGAGATACCTTTTCTTTTTTCCTCATCACCAAGACTGCTTTTTTATCATGCAGTTCAGGGCTTCTGTAGATACCAATGTATTTTCAGCTTAAATAATCAATTTAGATAAGTCTTAGCTTATAAGACTATATCTGTAACAAAATTAAAACTGTAATTATATGTATTTTGTAAAATAATTAACTGTACTACATAGCTACTTTTTTTAAAAAATCATATCTTGTTCTGGTAAAGCACTTTACTTAAATGCAATTTATACTCAGTCTCTATGTCATTCTTTATGAACACATTTTGACAAATGTGTAACAGAATTATTTAGTCATGTAATTACTTTTATTTAACTTTTGAACCATTTAATTCGGTTTGTTTCATTGTGTTTTGCTTTTGTGCCATGTTGCATTTGAACCATGCTTTTTTTCACTGGGATTGGACTGGGACTGGGATTGAAATGGGATTGGCACCAAATACACCAATTCAGGCTGGTTAAAGATTGGTTTTCTTGCAGGGATCTTACAAAAATTCATGTAAAGCAGCTCTTTAAGCGCAGAACTCTCTTCACTGCAAAGGGAAAATGTACTCTCTTGTTCCGCAGGTTCTTGTTTTCACTGAAGTTGTTGTAAAGTATACAACAAAATAGCAAACTAGTGTCAATTACAAGACCTGCAATCCTAAAACACTGTAGCTAATTGGCTGTGATCGCAATTGTTTATTTGTGACAGCATACCAAAAAAAAAAAAGCAGAGAACTTGTACTCATTTTTGTACTGAACAGCAAAAGAAGACGTTTGACAGGAATGTGTCAATGAGATTGTGTCTCGCAATTGTGCATGCAAGAAAAGTGCCATGATGAGCAATCAAGGAGTTTTGCTGCTGACTACCTGCAAACATAATTTAAAGCATTAATTACCGGAAGTGGTGTATGTCACAAAACTGTAGTGGATTCTGCTATTCAGGAAAAGGAACAGTGGAAGTAAATGTTTCTAAAAGTCTAAAAGATTCATTCACAGCACAACTCAAAGCAACATAAATCTTGGGAAATGAGCTTATGTAAGAGGCCGTGGACCCAAGACGGTTCTGTACGCTTGCATTAAGATTTGAAACAGATGAAAAGAAAGACCAGATGCATTGGTCTTCATTTAATTCAACATTCAAGTCCACCCACAGCATTGTGTTCCCATCAAGTATCACCACTCGCCAGCACAGAAAAAACGAGCCAGCACAAAGCCTCCACGTCCCTTACAATGACAGGGCCAGAGGTGCCGTGAGCAGTCCCTGCAGACAGGCTAAATACAGACAGTCTATTTTCTAACATGGGGGAGCCTGTCCAGTCCGCTTTACACTGGATGTGTGTCTCTCCGTATGTGTGCTTGTGTGTGTTTGAGCAAGTCTATAGATCAGCCAGTCGTCCCTGTCCGAGGCTCTCGGCCAGCTGGAATAAGCCCCGACTACCCTTGACACCCTGACAGAGAGAGACGAAGAGTGGTGGAGAACTAGGAAAAGAAACTTTGAGGCCTCTCAGGTCCCCAGACAGGAGTGGATTCATAAAAAAACATGCACATACACACTCTATTATATAACCGTTCTGCCGCAGGTTTCACACAAAAGAAGACTTCGCAGGAAGAAGATCCCCTAGCCCATTCGTTTTAGTGGCATTAACAGTGCTAACTGGTAGATTTATTTACAGCAAACCAAGTCTCGGATTTGCAAGAAATAACAGACTCACTGCAATGTGGGGATCACACTTCTGTAGATGCGAAAGTAACTACCGAGGAGTCAGTCGTCTCGCTTTTTCTTCCTTCTGTCACCTTCTCTCTCTCAACGCATGTTCAGCTGCACTGAAGTAAACACTGTGGATTTATTCTTTAAGCATGAAGCATATTACTTAAGTAATTTCATCAAACAGAAGTGCTACAATTTGGATTGTTTTCAGACAGGTTTCATCCACTTTTCCCATCGACTTTTAGTCAAAAAATGAGATTTGCTCCACCACAAACTCACAATACTGGTCAAAGTCTAACAACTAAAAATTTACAATATTAAAACTTTAAAAGAATATACAGTTTGCACAGAATAAAAATCATTACTTCAATGAAGTTGGGTTAAGCCTGGTTTTTTATTTGCATCCAACTAAATGAGCCAGCAGAAAAAAAGCTCAGCAGAAGCCAATTTATCTCAAACAGCAAATACTAATAGCTAAAATGCTGATAAACAATCAAGTCCCAATTTATAAGGACTCAAAATGACTTGGGGTCATAGACAGGTAAGGCCCAAATGAGACCAAACACTGCCTCCATGCAAATTGCTAACAAAAACAAACAAGCAAGTCTCTTGTGTTCTTTTATATGTATTATTGTATCAGTCTTACTAACCCTGCATTGCTTTCAAATACATCAAAGCTTTGTTATGTCTCAAATCCTCCCGCCAAGATAGGCTCCTTTCAATCTGTGGCGACCATCTGATCTTGCAATTGCTTGGGAACCAAATTGGATGCATTCACAAAGAACATCCAGACTAAATTAGTTGCCCCACTAATGTTAGCAAAAGAATTGTGTGTTTGTGTGTGTGTGTGTGTGTGTGTGTGTGTGTGTGTGTGTGTGTGTGTGTGTGTGTGTGTGTGTGTGCGTCCATGAGAGATAAAGTGACAGTAAAACAGATAGCTAGAGAAGCATTTTAATTCTAAGGCTCTTACTTTAATGCGTAGTGCGACTGCAGCCCATAGGCACCAACAACTTCATAATTGGAATCCAAACACGTACAAATTACTGCCCTGCTGTTGCATACCAGGCGTGCAATTTTGGGCCGCATGATGAAATTATTTGAAACTCGACATAAAACGATCACGCATAGAAAAGGCTGACGCAGCACCCCGGGGACAGAGTGTAGAAATGATCTACCACATTGTTTGATAACAATCTCCATTGTTTGATCAAATACGATTTAAAAATTAACCGAGGAAGCAGGTGATACATTTGACTTTGGATTTATAGCTAATATAATCCTTTTTGTGTATATATGTAAATGAATGATTCCTGATAAAAACCTTCACTAAATGGGAATGAGTTGTGGATGTAAGATTACATGAATATAATTACTGTTATTATTTAAAATGCAGTAAATGATTACACTGAGGTCTTGTTATAATTATTACAACGGCTGTCTTACTCTTTTTATATATTTCGTTTTTGAGCCAAACTTCAAAACTATCCTATGGTGTTACTGTCTCTATAGCTTAATATATTACAGCTCTTAAAAATTAAAAAGGAAAAATCATAAAATCATTAACACATACCTCAGGCCTAATTTTACAAGAGGCTATTTTAGTAAATGGCAATCTTTTTTTTTAAACACATTGTGACACTGAAAACCATGTTCTCTGGAGTGACAATATACACTCTCAAAAATAAAGGTACGGGAGCTGTCACTTGGGCAGTACCCTATTAAAAGATACATATTTTTATCCAAAGAGTCCATAGTGGTACCTCAGAGTTCTATATTAGTGCCCAAATTTAACTAAAAAGTACCTCTGAGGTACTATTATGGACCCTTCAGGTACCAATATGTACCTTTTGAAAAGGTACTGCCCCAGTGACAGCTCCAGTACTTTTATTTCTGAAAGTGTAAGCTAATTTTAAATCTGCAATTACACTTAAAACTTAAATTACCTGAAGAACCCCATTCAAGATCATGTGACTGAAGCCCCGTTAAGTTTCTGTCTTAGAATTTTTTACACATTTCACTTTCT